AGGGCCATCATGTCCTATGGCTGATTGCTTCTAAGTGGGTTTTTTTTGTTTTATTTTGTTTTTGCATTCTTCTTCATTTCCAACTAGGAGACTGATAGCTGCATCTTCGATGGCCACTTGAAAGCTTTTAAGACTCCAGTCGCTACTCCCCAATGGAAATGTGGAGTGAGGCTTTTATGTATTTTGTTGTGCCAGTTGAGTCTGGTATCCCCGAGTACTATGGTCCTGAGGCAGATCTATTGGATCTCTCTCGCATAGTGTCTGGTGGTCTGTGAGGTCTGATGCTATGTTCTTCATACAGTCCACCATCTTGGATTTTTTGCTCAGCGTACAGATTGTATAAGTATGGGGGAAAGATACAACCCTGACAGTATCCCCTTATTCTGTTCCAACAACTGTCTCTTGGTCTGCATACTCCACAGGAGCACAATTAAGTGTTCTGGCAAATACTTTTGCCCGACTTCTTGCATGACAAAGACACCTGGCTCTTACTCTAAGTCTTGAACAGCAATTTTGTTATAAAATTGATGGATCATGCTCTCTCTCCTTGAGAATCTACAGCCCCGATTCTTCGGTCTGCTCTGGATAGATCTGAAGCCAGCATCGTTGGTTTTCCCTTGTAGGCAACTTATGTCTGAATACTTCTGATTCTTTGTCCTGAAGTCTGACAGCTTCAACAGACCCTGTCTTCATATTAAGAGTCTGGTCTGTTCCCACCCCTGGGGAAACAGTGCCCCACTCGACCCACAGATACCTTTATTTCAGCCAAGTGTTTAACTGTCATAGCACTATTGTCTGCTGTCCTTGTCATTTACCGTTAAGCTTTCTGAGCATGTCTCTCAAGTGGGAGCCTCATAGCCTGACTGTGAGTTCAGGGCTGTAACTGTTTTCTCTTCCTCTCAAGTTTTGCCAGATCACTTGTCATTTCCTTATTTGTACATTTTTGAGGGGCGGATCCTTGGTTTGCCTTTTGTCTGTTGCATTCCCTTCCTTTTTAGTCCTTTTGTTCAGTAGGTCTAAACTCTTCTTCCAAGAAGGGGAGTTCTTCCTGGATAACAGCGGCAGGACAGTCTTTCCTGCCTGGTCAGTGCCCTGGGCAGCTGAGTCACCCACTCACAGCAGAGCCCAGGACCAAGGGACTGAGTGATGCCAACTGTCTAGCCTCTGCTGGTTTCAGG